TGCTCAAATCAGATAAAAACTGGAATCTCATTGAGTCTTTCATTACTAACATAATGAAACAGAAAGAAACAGATGGAAGGGGAGAATAGGACACTGTCACAACTTCCCTAGATGACTAAAATGGAATAAGCAGAATCGATTGTAGCTGAAGCCACAATAAAGGCGGCACAAGGGATCCCATCTATCATGGATAAAGCCGCAAGGTAGTACCGTAGATGGAATACGGTCTAGAAAAAAGAGGAGGTTTTAGTGAGTGCGAGCCTCAGACTGTAGCGATGCATTGTCGAGTTGCACAGCCGGCAATGCGCCGTTGCGTGCGGTAGGTACATTTCCTTCTCTATAAACAAAAAAAAATAATAATAATAAATAATAATAATAAAAATAATAATAAATAATATAATAATAATATATAATTATATAATAATAATAAAATAATAATAATATATAATAATAATATAATATAATAATATAATAATAATAATAATAATATAATAATAATTAATATAATAATAATAATAATAATATAATAATAATAATAATATAATAATAATACCCCCGCAGGGGGTATCTACTTTTAAAGCTGGATTCTTATCACCCGGACTTAAAAGTAGATACATGGGGAGTGTCGCCCCCACGGCCCCAGGCAGGGAGTTCGGGGTTTGGTGGTCTTGCCTTTTTTCTGCCAAACCCTGGGCTTTTTCCTTTCTTTTTCCCTCTTCCTCTCTGCAATTCTTCATTCCTAGCTTTCGTCTTTATCCTCTCTCTTTCTCTGCCTCTCTCTCTGCTTTGTTTCCCATTCTTTGGGGAGAAAACCCCAAAATAAATAAAAATCCGGAACCCAAGGTGTCAAACGTTACCGTGCCGAGGGGTGAATGGCCCTACGTTAGTGGGTCTTGAACGGTGTGCTCCGGATACCAGGTGCCCTCCGGTTCTATTTAGCCTTCCTACAGTATCCAGGCTCTGCTGTAGGTGACCGTTACTTCCTGTATGACTCGTGGGACTTAGATGAATATTCCAAACCC